GTGAGGGTTTGGTAGTTTAGCTGTCTCAGGCAAAGCACTGAAGCCCCAAACTCTGCTCGCTTTATTTATTTATTTGTATAGAATGAAGATGCTTGCTGTTTCTGGGGATATTAAAAAGAAAAAAAAAACAAAGAGAATGATTCAAACAACAAAAATATTACAGCTGCACGGTGGCAGTCCATAGACGATGCATATCTATGCTGAAGCAATCGATATTTATTTTAATTAAAAAAAAAAATAAAAAAAAGAAAAATATCTGTTTTTGTATTTCTATGATTGAATTCTGAGTTTTTTTTTTTTTTTTCATTTGTTTCATGCTGCGGTTTGTAGATGCCTCGGTGCTCCTATGGCGGTGGTTCTTTAGGTTAATTTAAGAGTATTTTTTGCTTTAATAGCTCAAAACAAAAGTAAATTTAATTAAATAATTTAATTTCGCTTTATATTACCTTTTTAATGAGCCGTTTATGAGCAAGAAAGAACGAGGGGGTGAGGCTACATCTCAGGTGTATAGGCAGCTACTTATTCGACTCGGTGGGGGTGGTTGCTGTGCATGGTGGTGTGTTTCTGTGTTTGTTTGTTTTATATTTTGGATTTATTTCTGAATAAAGTTGCAAAAAATATTTAATATTTATCTTTTATCGTCGCTTTCTAGGAATTTTCATTCTAAACAGTTCTGCACACGCCGCCGTTTCACTGGAGCCACGGGGTGTACATACACCTCAAGAAGGGAAACAAACTGCTTCTCTTTTTTTTTGTTTTATATACATAAAAATGGAAGACTTAAGAAAAGAATTCAAAGACGGTACACCCAAAGAAAACACACACCGCTCAGGGGGGGAGTGACCTTCGCCTGTAAACCCCTCAAGGGTTTAGGGTTTAGGGTTTAGGGTTTAGGGTTTAGGGTTTAGGGTTTATGTCTGGGGGTTTTTGCAGGCGAAATTCCTGAAGATATTCTCAAACACCATGCAAAGAATATCGAAGGGCTCACAGGAGAGTGGACCCTTGTCGATGACCACCGGTGTGCTGGACAGACCACTGGTCACCTAAACCCTAAACCCTAAACCCTAAACCCTAAACCCTAAACCCTAAACCCTAAACCCTAAACCTCTGACATTAGGGGATGAACAATACCTAGAAAAGCTGTCTATAGAACACCTAACACTGCACCAGGAGGAACAGCTGCACCTTTTTCTTTGTGTGTGTGTTGCTGCTGTCTTTGTCTGTCTTTTTTTTTTTTTTTTTTTTTTTT